ATTAGTGACATTCATATTAACGGGGTAATTTACATATGTTTGGCTTTGGTGTTTTAAAAATTATTCATTTTAACGGGTTTTCGGATTAACGGGGTTCGGATTAACGGGGTTGCCTATGTATATAAATATTTTTTTATCTATATACAACATCGCATGATCACCTTTTCCCCATATTTTTTCAAATACGTTCGACCTTGATTTTATCTTTTATCTTTTATCGCTTTTTCAAGAATGAAATTTTACAAGAATAAATCATATTGGCTTAAAATAAGAGTTTTTCAATTTGGATTGGTCTTAATATGTTTTTCACTAGGTATATATATATATATGCAATTTAATTGATATCAAACAATTACTAAACTTGATATTCTTTACTTCAATAAATACTTTGTCAAATTCAAATTAAATTAGAAATAATCCAATTGACTATGTTCATGTCATTTCTACATGAATTACTAAAACAAGATGCATCAATATCAATTTATTTTTCACGTAATGAAAAGTGAGTGAAAAGTATATTATCATTGCAATTATAGTCACAATTAATCAAAATTAATTTTATTTTTTAGGTATAATGGAGAAATAAAAATATGGTATTATGTGGTAATATTGTTGACATTGGCTGCATTATTTTATTGTTTTATATTTTTTAAGAAAATTGCCAATAGAGGTCCAAATTTATTATTGATTGATATGTAAGTTGTTTATTCAACCATTTTGTTATTAAAGATGACTTTAGCGACTAGATTATTCAGTAACTTGATATTTAATAAATTTTGATTTTTAGATTTCTTACAATATCATGGATTACATCAGGTAGAAAGATAATACATATAGATGTTTAATCTCTACAATTGTTTTTGATTTAAACTTTATCACAACAACTAATCTACCTTTTATTTATTTAAAAAACAATAATAGGCATAACAAATCTTTATCCAATGTATATGGGAGACAAAAAATTATCATGCGAAGCAATGGGTTATGATGTTTCATTAGTACAACATTTTTACTGGAAATGGTGTAGTACTTATTTTGTGGCAATTGTAATGAGCTGGATAACCACAACATCATTTATAATGACGTTGTCTTTAAATATAATTTTTCATGTTTCAGAGCAAAAAACTGATAGTCATTGCAATAAACACATAGTGGATAATAATCCAATTGAATTGATTGTAATAAATCAAAGTAATAATAATAACAATGATAATGACAACAATATCAATGATAATACTATAATCATTGAAAATCAATGACAACAACCACAGATAATATATAGCTTAATAAGTATAATACAGTAATAAGATTAAATTTTGTAATTATTATTATTTTAAAAGGCAATGATTATCAATATTAAATAATAAATTGTGCAGCGCCGTGCCATTTATGGTTCCGATAATTTCCATTGGAACATTTCCAACAAATTTCAATTGGCATCTACATTGGAACCAACCACATTGGAACATTCCAATAGCGTTACAATATTCCAACTGCATACATGGATTGCGCAGCAGAAAAGTCCATTAAAATCAATAATATTGACATTGATAAATTGTGTGGATTCCAATGGTATACTGGTGCAAATAGCATTTGGATGAATTGTTATTATAATCATCAGTTGTACACGGGACATGTCCACCTAATATCGA